GAGATGCCTGAAACTTTCTCTGTCTCATGTTGTGAAACTTCCTACTCTCACAGAAAACACCCTCATTCTCTCCTCCCCAGTACCTTGGCACAACAGGCAGAAAATAAGGTTTATAATTAGGACTCTTGCATTATCATGAAAAAATATTTTAAAACATAATCAGAATCTCTTTCTATAAACCCATCTGATTATGATTTCAAGTAGTTAGTAGACTACTACAGTCTTGGAACAGGCCGAGATGTTAGAATCTGTACTCAGAAATCAGCTCTTATAATTCCACAATACTTTAGAAGATGCCTTTGCATTTATTTTTTAAATAAAAAGGCAATGCTTTTCTAGCATAAATCAGAATGTAAGAATCTCAGTCACTCTAAGTTCTGAAGTCAGGATCAATGTATTTATTAACACTTTGCAGTCTGTGAATATATGTTAGAGATTTACTGTCTCTGCATTTTTGTATTTTTGTGAAGTTTCTTGCTATCTCAATCATGTCATCACCTGTAGTATAAGGACTTGCAGTCTTACTATAATAACTTGCAATCTTACCTGAAAGATACTGCAGCTGATGAAAATCTTCTTGTTAGGTCAAGAAAACCTGCAAAAAATGTTTTGAGAGGCCAGTAAAATAGCTAGTATGATGCAGAATTACAACTTTGAGGGCAGCAGGAGACTAATATGCTTATTCTCTCTTGAAAGCATGATAGGGTAAAGTAGATTTATTCTTTCCACAAGGAGAATTGAGGTATAAAGGTATATGAATTTTTGCTGATAAAGAGAGTTTTCCTAAAAGTACAGTAATTAATAATATAAAGAGGAAATAAGAAATTCTGTCACGGATTGCAGTGTTTTGTAATGCAAATATCATAAACAAATGTTATGAATAAAAATTCTTAAATTCGTGTGACATATAAAGATTTGTGTAGGTTTATATTTTTGTTCTTTTTGTGTGTTTGTGTTAATATTGTCAGTTAAAATTTCTGTTGTACACTTAGAAACAGAACTGTGGTGCTCAAGTACTAGCAGAAATTAAGTGCATTTTAATATAGTTCTAACTTCTGTACTTTTTCTGTGCCATGCTTTTAGTTTAGTTATGTTCTTGGTAAAAACTTAAAAATGTAATCTAACAAACCTTGAAGTATTAAAAGGTTTTATTTGAGAACACGCTTTTATTTTTGGTCTCTTTTTTTCCTTGTTTTATTTGTTTCTAAGTTTTATGGCTATGTCTGTAGGAAATTATTCAATGGAAAATGCTTTGACATCTTTAACTAAAGAGAGAAATTAAGCTCTCAAATGCAAAAATATTCCATCACTGGGAAAGCAAAAATTACTCTGAAAGAGGGTATCGCTTTCAGGGATGGAAATTTTATGTCACATATGTGTTCATTACTTTGCTTTATTAATTTGATGTCATTTTTTCTATTAGTTTAATAATGTTTCCATATTTATAATAAAAGATAAAAGAAACATTAACTCTCTCCATATAAATATATCTGCAAATTACAAATTAATGTAAAATATGTATAATAAATGAAATTTAAGAGCTAGAAAGGTTTTTGTAATTTGTAAATTAGCAACTTAAATGTGGATTAGTTGTTAAAACAGACTGTATAATATAGCGTCATATCCCACAGGTGTGAATGAAAGGACATAGAAAAAAGGATTTAATTTTTTTAAAAGGAAGTTATCATCATCTTATGCAGCCACCTTTTCTGTCCAAAGAATTAAGCAAAGGCTTACTGAACTTTGTAGTATTTATGGAATCTAAAAAAATATAATGTATTTTTTATAAATAATTTGTCTTTTAATCCAATTTACACTACTAAGGATAATCTGTATATAGTTTCCCTTTTTCAGAAATCATGAATATCACATAAATATTGGGACTGTTCACGGGTGTGTTGTTTCTGTGATGTCTGAGGCAGGGCTTCATATTATGCCTTGTGATTTTAAAAAGAAATTTTCAAACAACGTATAACATCCATGTCCCAAGTAGCATCTAGCATATCTGAAATCTTCCACCTTATATTCCTTTGAACAAAGGCTTTTGTGCCAGAATCCTGTAATTCTTTTCTATGAACTGATCTAATAAGAGATATTACTTCTCCACATAAGCTTTCCTTTAATGTCTAGCTTTTGTCTTTGAAGAGCAGTGTCATAGGTCTGAATTGAATACATTGGAATTGATTGTGACCAGAAGCATATATGTAAACATCATTGCTAAAGCTTAACCTTTTTTCTGAAACTGTCAACTATATATTGGCATCTGGCTTTCTCAATTTGATTTCTGAGAAAATGTAAATGTTTCAGGCCTGCTAGCAGGGAGTTTCAGCATACATCATAGAAGAGAGAAGTAATGCTCAGTGCTCTGTTAGTGGCTAACAGAAGTAGCACACAGCCCAAAGCGTCATGCTTATCTGTTGCTTTTATTCAGGAGCTAAAGTGATATTTCCTTCTGTTCCCAACTGATAACAAGTGCAAAATACAG